ACTTGCTTGCTCTTCCAGGCATGGAGTACAGGCATTCCCGCGATTGGCGACCCTGGTTCCAGAGCAATGGGGTTCACAGTGTCATTCGCACCAATCACCAATGTGACGTCCGTGTCGCCGAAGTCGTCGTTGATCTCGTCCATTTCCAATACAACTGACATGATAGTTTAGAATGAGTCTCAATGAGCAAAAACCAGTGGCGTACTGTCATATGGTACGGATGCTTCCGCGAGTAGCACATTACACTGACCAGGCATTCTATAAGAAAAAAATCGCTCAGAACTTGATCAGGTCAGTCGTTCATGACAATACCTTCCCGCAACCGGGTGGATAGCAAAGCGAACTTTAATGCCCTTCGATCTCAGCATTGAGACGACGTCCGAAATGGCATATTGTGCCTTCGCCACCGCCATACCGTAGCCCACAACCTATTCACACAATATTTGATTAGTTCGTTATACTTGATGGTCCAGAAATCCAGCATACCAAGATGACGTTCTCTGCATTGGCCAGTGCATCTACAGTTTCATCGACTGATGTCTTTGAGATTACCCCTTCGATCTTATAGTCAGACTGTACTGCTGACGATCCAATTCCACCGAACAAGACATTCGTGAGGGTTCTGTTCATTGCAACACACTATGATGGTTGATATATACTCAGCGGAGTCCACCTCACAGAACGATAACGCGCACCATGATGTACGACAGAATGGAGCCGCTCACGCCGATAAGTGCGCCGATAGTCGTCAGCAACGAATTGTCCAACATGAAACCTAGTATACGGATTAGCATCACAAGAAGAAAGTTTTGTTAACTGGCACAAACCTTCAGCTACGAGAGCGAAGCCGGAGTATGCGTTGAGTACCGTAATAACAACAGCTAAGCGGAATAATGGTCAAGACGTAATATCAATGAAGCAGCACGGAAAGCTCGTACGCATATCAGCTCCCCCAATAGCAGCGGTAGTTGTGAAGCCCTTGATGAAAGACAAAATCGTATTTGCTCCAAGGAACCCTGCGGCGATCATTGGAACTGATGGTGCCATGGTCACAAATGCACCCATGGACACAATATTGGCACCCAAAAGAGAGCTGTTCAAAATATGTCGCCCAGGAAACATAAGTGGCCTTGAGGACATGCGACCTGCCAGCTTCAAAAACGCAACAATTGATCCGGTAAAAGTGACGCCACCTATCGTTTACCAATGGACAGTCAACATCTAATTTGCTACTGCGAAACGCATGCCTACCAATAAGCACTCCCAAATAAGCAGTGACCAGATGAAGAGTGGAGGCGTGTCCGACATCCGCAAGCACGCTCGCTATACTCGTGAGAACCGCAGCGAGCCCAACTACCGAATGCAATGCGGCTACCATCTGAGGTAGCTCGATCGCGGTTATGCGCCGCCCAATCACGGTACCAACGGATCCGCCTATTGCAGACACTGCCGCAAACTGTACTAGAAGCTCTGGAGAGAATCCGACAGCAGCCAGCGAGGCTAAGATACCCGAACTAACACCTAGCATACCGAGGATGTTTCCCTGACGAGCGGTGGCCTGCGATGCAAGTCCCGAAAGCGAACCTAAATGAAAGAGATTATCTCAGCTATGACCACAGTTTTGTGAGTTTGCACATACTGATACAGAGAACACTACTAGTAAGGTATCCAGCCTGTACAAGTCCAGACATTCCAGTACTCGCTGCCGTCAAAAATCCTCCGGCAAAGAGGATGGCCGGAACTCCATAGAGCCAAGCATATTCTGGCGGATCGGTTTTACCTGAGGGGCGCTGTGAAATATGACTCAAAAAGCACGAAGCTGTCACTCACGTTTGAACATGTCCAACATACGTTTGGTAATTACGAATCCGCCGGCAACATTGACGCTGGCAAGTAAGACCGATGCTGCGCCCAGAACTTGGGGTACAGTGCCGGGAAGATAACCACCACCCATTACGAAGAGGCCACCAACACCAACCATACCTGAGGCATCCGTTAATGATTGAACGAACAATTGTTCTATAGCATTCATGCATACCTGAGATGGCATTCGTTACGGACATTAGAGGCGAATGTAATGCTGGCGCCACGCCCCATACGACACGGTAACCAATTAAAGAAGCCAGTCCAAATGTAAAGAATTGGCTCATAAAGGCGGGTCCCGCTAGCTTGCCCAAGGTAATAGCCGTGCCCATGCCTGCAGTGATGGTCGCAATCTCCCTAGTGGCCTTTTGCCAGGGTGTAATAGCCTTGGTCTCGGCGACTTCAGCGGCCTTGTCAGGGGACGGTGCAGAAACCACTGGAGGTACTGGACGAGGAGCCGGCGGCAGGAGAGTTCCTTGGTGGAGGACAATCGATCCACGCACAACTTCGTCCTGTAGATCGATGCCAAAGGTGCCGTCGTCACCAATTGAGAGCAAGAATTTGGTGATGTTGTTCGAATAGAGTGTAGACGACTGTGTTGGGAGCCGCGAAGGCAGGTCAGTGTAACCTATACAATAGCATGAGCCTACAGCGAGGATTCCATCAAGTGAAATATATTACCAATGATTGTGACGCCATCATGCACGTATAGCTCTCCAGGCCGCGTCAACGAGCAATTACCTCCAGTTTCTGCGGCCAAGTCCACAATCACGGAGCCTTGCTTCATTGCCGCAACCATCTGGCATGGGTTCAGATGAATTTGCATATACAGCTGCTGAACTCAAACCGTGTCTTACCTCCGTAGTTATGAGCTTGGGAGCGGGACGACCGGGAATAAGAGCCTTCGGGAATATCAGCATCAACACGCAAGAAATTGTTCAGGAATATCACTCGCTGTTGTGATAACGATGTCCACATCTTTGCACTGTTCTAAGAAGAGTGCCATTTCGGCCTCGATAAACTCCTTGGACATCACCTTGGCGTATCCTCCGCCACCTTCTCCAGATTCCTGGATGTTCACTTCTAGGAATTCGGCTCCAAGTGACTGCACCTGTTCTTTAGCCGCAGCACGAGTATCAAATCCTCGCACAATAGCACCCATACGCCTAGCCTACTCAACAGGTCAATAGACTTGTCACTATAACCGGGCTAAACATTACTCGCCGTTGCAATAGCGCTTAATCCAGCCACACCAGCACCGATTACGAGTACCTTGCATGGAGGGATCTAAACAGGAAGTGTTAGCCCGCCTATATATTTTTGCTGATCTGGATGGTACCTTGCTACACAGGCATAGAAGATTCATTAGATGACTCATATACTATTCAGTTGACTCAGTTCTATGAAAGACCTACCCAGCCGCGGTCACTTGACCAGTAAGAAATCGTCCAAAGTGATTTGCCGCCTCTAATACTGCTTTGTAGCCTGCGATATTAGCCATTGAGCTGATATGAAATTCATGAGCTCAGACACCACGCATAAGCCGGTGACACGGACCTCAATGCGTCGAAAACTTGGGCACGAGATATACGGGGTATCAACTCCATCGCGAAGGCATTGGCTTTCCGAGAAGCTAGAGCCTCTACAATCGCCTTGTTCTGGTTTGGATATAAGAATGAAATAATTGTGCTTCCCTCCTTCACTTTCTCCGCTTCTTCACCCAGTGCCGGCGGTCTCACTTTCAGCAAAATGTCGGAGGCTCCGTACAGATGTTCTCTATCCACAAGCGTAGCACCAGCCGCCTTGTACTGCTCATCCGGAAACTGAGCTTGGGCACCCGCGTTCTTCTCTACCAAAATTTGAGAAAAGCCCTTCTTTATCAGGACCTTCACATTCTGAGGGGTGATCGCAACGCGACGCTCGTTTGGGAATGTCTCGACAGGCACTCCAACACTCAATTCAGAGTAAGGCTTCCCAGCATCTTCAGATAACGCGCATGACTTAACGGACCGAACGTTCACTGTGCGACCAGAAACACGTACCAGTCTCTGTATGCTTGATAGTGCTCTTAGTGTCCACATCGGCTCGAGGACTTGTCGAGTTCCAGGCCGATGGCGAAGTATGAAACGAGCGAAAGTAGCACGAGACTGTGAATCAACACTGCTGGTCGCGATCGAATACTAGACGATAGTACGCATCACGCTCACCTAGGGGTCGCCAACGATGTCTCCTCGCGGCGCCTGCACCGCCAGAGCAACGGAGCAGAAGACTCGAGCTCATCGCAGAGTGTCAATATGGGCTGGCAGAGCTCGTTGACCTGCGGTGTAACCCGGTGCTCGATAATTTGGCGTGTTGATTTTTTTAGGAAGGGTCACCTGCTGAGGAGGGTGTGGAATCTAATACTGGTAGGCGCATGATCAAGCGAGTTTCCCCTGATCAATCTCGGTAAGTTGGGAGTCTCCCACTGTCATGCGCTGTGCGAAACTGCTGCCGTGAAGGAATGTTCGCTAAGGTAGGGTTGGGGACCCGTGGATTGAGCAACACTGGTCAGGCCAGATCGTTCAGAGACAACTCAAACAACTTGGAGGTCGCACATGTACACGTAACCAGCGCTCAGATTACCCCACGATTAATGATTGATCCACACACCTCAGTTACACCCTCAGTGAGCTGCAGCATGCTGTAGCCGACTCGTCGACGAGTAGGGGCCAGGGCTTGAGCGATCAGACATGTCTCCGTGAGAAGGGATAGGTAAGACATTTCACACTCCCGTGCGAAGCAAGTGTCATTGCCTCTGCAGGCTGAAGCAACCGCCACCAGGTTTCCTATCGTTCTTTGTCATAGACATATCGACGATCCTTTACCCGGGACTACAATTATCCAAGCCGACATCGTCCGTGCGGAGGCTCACCTTCCGCGCACTCCGTATCTTTTCCCATATTCACAGATGCATAAGTAAAATAATCACATAGTAGCGATGTCAAACAGCTCTTGAAATTATCCTTCTCGACAATGTGTAGGCCCTGTACAGCGAAAGCCGCAAATACGAGAATGCCCCATTGAACGTGGACGTCCTGGGCACAATTATTCTCTGACAGGGAGGGTCCAGCCTACTCCTCAAGGCCTCAGGCCACAGCCTCTCAAGCGATAAGAACTAGTAACAAGTCAACGGTAGCGTTCCCGCCTGTTCTCGAGGAGACGATAACGTTGGATTGGATTGTCACTTAAGACTCTCTGTATCAGATATCTGAATTCGGATAGCGTAGGCAGCAGCATATGGAGTAGGGATAATCGACGCTGAAAGACACGGGTCGGTGCCCTTGAGTATTAAGGGTAAGTTACTGGCCAACACAGTGAAGTAGCAGCGAACGTACCTAGACCGCTTCGCCTGAAACTTTACCATCTACTATCTCAAGTTTGTCCAATACTTCTCTTTCCCACTTCGCCCAGCCGTCTTGATCTGCTTGTCCAGCATCTTTAACCGCATCTTCAAAAACCTTCCATGGTATACAGGCTTGGTCGCCTTCTTCCGTCGGTTCCAGCGCAAACCGGCTTTGGCGAGTCCGCGTTAGCGTAACAACATGTGCAGCAGATCCGAGTGCATGTCCAAGGTCATGGACAATGGACCGCACGTAGGTCCCGCCAGATACCTTCATTCGCAGTACGAATGCTGTAGGTGTCTGCTCAGTAGCGGTGGCATCCTCAGGCTCGTCCCGTATTGCAACATCCTCTTCGACACCCTGAAGCGCCGTCTCTACGGCCTTCCTTTGCTCCTCGGTGAATTTTTTCTCGGGCCATCTGAAGTTGTGCTCGCACCCTTTCCATTCGATGAGCTCAAGTGAGTGCACCGTAACCTTCCGTTTCTCGATGGGTCGCGGGAGTGGAATGCCGTTGCGAGCGTACTCGTATAGCGGCTTTCCACCCATCTTGAGCGCAGAGAATCTGCACATACAGCATGAGTGTTCTCTATAGTGTCAATGAATCAACCGAAAACTAGCATTGGAGGCGCTTGCATAATCTCGCCTCGGAATCTGTCTAGTTCGGCCTCCACACTTTCTCTAGTGACGTGCCTCCAAGGCGCGACACGAACTTGTGCCCCATCGCTGTCATACGAGTCCGTCTCGCACCCAAGAAGACATGTAGTGTGATATTCCTGCACCAACCAGCCCGTCGGTCATCGTCAATCCCAGACGAAGGTATCTGGGTGGGGACATACCTTCACGCAATCAAGGAAGTTGCCTAGTTTCTTTGTACCTTTACCGACGCCCACGACTGAACCAAGCTCGTTTACATTGGCATCTAATGAGAAACTGGACGTGCTATACCAAGGACTCCATCAGCGAGAGGATCCAAGGTTCCACCTTGTCCTATTTTGACCCCAAAGCGTGTGTGTTTGGCCTTTTTCGTACGACCGGTTTCTTTTTTGAGCTTGTCTACCTCCACGAATAGACAAGAATTTGCGATCAAGGGCTTGATCTTCTCAAGAACTGACATAGACGTGGGCCCTGAAGGTTTGACAACGCCAAACAGGCCTGAGACGGGTAATTTTACACTTGGTACCTTAGGCATGACAATTGAGCTGCGGACGAGGTAGTTAAGCCAGGGTCAAGTAGACATCGGAAGAGATACTCTATGTAGACACGATCCGAACCCACCGCGTCCGCGCCTTCACACGATTACATAATGATATATCCACGATCACTAACCAGCTGAGATTGCGAAAAATATAATAAGACATTCTAAGATGCGATCTGGCAGTATTGTAATGTACAGAACAATTTTTCAACACACGCAAGTCCACAGTCGTAAGCATCATGACGGTAATACATAGTAAGCATGAGGCGAACTTAGTCGACCTCCTCGACACTGGGACCATCCTCACCACCTGGGGCCTCACCGCCAGGGAAACCACCCGGCGCACCACCAGGGAAGCCACCTGGCGCACCACCCGCAGAGTAGAGTTTCTGCATGATCGGGTTTGCAACTGACTCGAGTTCCTTCTGGCGTTCCTCGTACTCCTCCTTCGAGGCTTCCTGAGACGCATCCAGCCACGAGATGGCATCATTCACAGCAGACTCGAGCTTGCTCTTATCCGCTGGGTCAAACTTGCCAGACAGCTTCTCGTCGGTGAGAGAGTTCCGCAAGTTATATGCATACGACTCGAGCGCGTTTTTCGATGTGATGCGGGCAGCGGCGGCCTCATCCTCGGCTGAGAACGCAAAACGTAAGATTCAATCAATCGTCATGTTGAGCACCATGTCAAAGTACTTACCCTTGTACTTTTCAGCCTCTGAGACCATGCGCTCGATCTCTTCTTTTGACAGACGGCCTTTGTCGTTCGTGATTGTGATGCGATTTGACTTGCCGGTTGTCTTGTCGGCGGCGGAGACATTGAGAATACCGTTGGCATCGATGTCGAAGGTAACCTCGATCTGCGGAACGCCGCGGGGAGCGGGAGGGATACCCGACAGTTCAAACTTGCCGAGAAGATTGTTGTCCTTCGTGCGCGCACGCTCACCCTCGTAGACCTGAATTAAGACACCCGGCTGGTTATCCGAGTATGTCGAGAAGATCTCCGACTTCTTCGTCGGAACTGTGGTGTTACGCTTAATGAGAGCAGTCATGACACCGCCAGCCGTTTCGATACCAAGCGAAAGCGGAGAGACATCAAGCAACAA